AAATATCAGAAGGCTACTTTGAGAAGAAATATGAATGTAGTCAAAAGAGCTAGTTTAGAATAACTTTCTGTGCAACTCAGCTGCAGAACAGACAATATTCTCTAATGGGAAAGGCACACTAGAAACAACTTTCCAGAAATAACACTGCCAGCAAAGATATATTAAGGGAAAATGAACGGTAAGCAATAACCAGCCAATGCTTGGCAATACTCATCCCCACTAAAACGTTTATTTTTCACTCCATGGGTTTCTTCCCCTTTAACTACCCCAGTGACAAATAAATTATGAACATTACAGCTAATTTATTACTCAGCACGGCTGAGAATGGAGAGGAAAAAAAGGCAGCAATATTTTCAAGCTGATTCTTATTCTAGAGAAACAAATACTTTATTAAAAACAATAGTAAATTAAAAAGGAAAAACTACTTTTATAGTTAAGTCTGCCCATGCCTAAGCCATTCAGGCTCTGCTGCTGCCAACCAATCAGATGCTTTATCAACAGCTTCAGAAACAGAATCAAGCTCTTAATCTCTGCCTCAGTTTCCCCACCTGTGACACTTGTCCCACCCCATCCATTCACATTGCAAATACACAGAGGCAAATTCTACTGTGCAGCACCAAGGACAACAGAAAGCTCTGAAGCACTGCAGCACTCCCCAAACTGACTTTAATGACATCCTCCATGCAGATCTTGCCAGATTCCAAGGAGGGTTTGATCAGGTCTGTACCACAGAACACAATATTCTATTTGTTATATTTAACATGAGAGAGGAAAGGTTTGCACGGGAAAACAACTTCAAAAATCCAAGAGCCAAATTCTGCTGTTAACCCCTCAGTTCCCAGCTGTCCATCACACAGGGCCCCTACTTCTGTTTGTTCCACCAGGAACCCTTTGGTCATTAACTTCTGTATTTATCTTTGATACTTATCTTTTTCCTGAAGATGGAATTTCAAGATTTTCATTGATATCTCAAACCCCAGCAGCAATAAACCCGCACAGAAGGAGCCTGTCTGAAACCACATACACACACACACACACTCACCTGGAGTCACACAGCACTAATTTTACTGCAGACACTTAGTTAAGAGGGTTTTTGCAGGCTGCAGTCAACCACTGCTGCATGGGCAAAGCTCTCCCTAGGAAGTTAAGCACGGCTCAAAAGTTTTCATTCAGCAAAACAAGAAACAATTTGGCATTCATTCCCACGCAAACACCAATGCACCCTCCTTGGGAGGGACCAATTATTTTCCTTTCCATCCCATGCTCAGGCCAGTCATCCTCTATCACTTGATAAAACACATGAATAGCTGCATTCAGAGCTGTAGCAAACAGAGACAGCTCAGTAAAGCTCTGTAAAAACAGCTCCCCAGAGCACACCACAGAGCTGGTTCCCAACGTGCTTCCCATATGCATGCCCTTTATCCAATGGAGCCCGTGACTTTGGCAGATGTTGGATGCTTGCAACTAGGTCAGTTTGAACCAGAGTGAGCCGAGGCTAAAGGCCAGGGAGAGAAATTAAACTGCACTCCTGCTCCACAAACTGTGGCTGTCAAAGAGAGAGCTCCTTGCCTTCTGCTCAAGCAATGATTTCACCACCGGCTAGGCACAAGATCTGACTGGCAGGGTGATGAAATGCCTCAGAGATGAACCGTCAGGAGCGCTTGGAACGTTATTACCGGCAAAAATATTCCAAAATACAGAGCATGTAGGAATTCGTGGGGAGGGAGGGAGGCAGACAGGCAGCAAAGTGTTGCCAAGGTATGTGAATCAGCCTCATCGAAGCCCTCATCGCTGCGCGGCTGGCATGACTGATCACACTGCTGCATCCACCCGAGAGGCACAGGGCTCCAGCTGGAGAACAGAGCCTCCAGCCCTCCCCTCCTCGTGCCATCTGCACCAGCCACCCTCAGCTCTTTAATCCACTGCCCAACGCTGCAGGAGAGCAACTGCAGGTGGGAATCGGCTGGGCTGCGAAAAAGTTGCTGCAAAAATCCTGAGTAACTTCTGCAGCAGGGACGCCTGCAGACTACAAGCAGCGTTTCCCCCACTGCCACTGCAGTTGCTGGGAAATTCAAGTTTCCAAAAGCACGCAGGAGTAATTAGATGAAGCCAAATAAATGTGTACACAAAACCTTACACGAATATGCAAATAATAGGGTGTATTCAGCAGCCCCAGAAATTAAAGCAGCAGCGCAGGCTTGTATTTGCATAAACTATGCAGGATATGGCACCGAGTAATTTTGGAACATGTGCATTTTGCAAACAGCAAGCATAATAATAGACAAATATTTTTGAACGTGACATTGGTCAAATACTCCCTAAAACTTCACAAGAAGAACCTCAGAGACACTGCACTATTTAAACACAGACATCTACTGCTGGCATCCTGGGGTATTCTCACTGCTGAGTTCTGTGGGAAAAGAATTAGACTTTATATAGATTTTTATCAGCATTTATTATTTATAAAGCCCTGTTGGCAAGCAGAATGTTTTATGAACAAATAAAAGTGAATGATCCTTGCTTAAAAACCACATAATGAATGAATGTATACTTTGTATATATATGCAAGTGGTTGCTGCTAGTCTATTGCACTGTGAACATGGAAAAGGGGAGGTTTTTTACAACTCTAAAAAGAAGTAACAATAGCCACTTCTAAATGTACGGACATGAAAGCCAAGCCCAATCCAAACTGAGCTCTTCAATCACTCCTGAAAAGCCAAGCCCCTGGCTTGTTTTCTTAACGAGTTGAGTTTCTGCCCTCATGGTCTCCCTCAACTTGTCACCGTATAAGGCAAAAAAAAGGTTTCTCTTCCTGAGTTACAAATAACTAGGGAAAGTCACACATGCGGCCAAGGAAAGCAGAACTACAATACAGAACTCCCTCGCTGCTGACAGGCTAAAATTAGTAGTTTATTCAACTGCTCAGAACTACGCACTGTGCCTGTCCTGCGCAGCATCTCCCTCTTTGCCTGCCCTGCTGTTTGCTCTCCACTTTGTCTCTCTCGCCTGCTAATTTGTCCCTCGGGGAGCAGCCCAGCAGCCACCACCGAGCCCCGCTGATCCCAGGAGCCCGAGCAAATGAAAATCCACTTGCAGCTACACCTGGGCAACTCTGCAGTGCCTCCCCTGATTCCACCCCACGGCAGCACCTGAGAGCAGCACCTGGCCCCACGGGACACTCGGTCTGCAAAAACCATTAAGTGCTCTGTGCTTTCCAGCAAGCATCAAAGATGCTGCTGCTCTCGCTCCCCTGCAGCACCTGTAAGCACAGTGCTGGCCAGACTGGCTTCAAGCACAGATTCACCCTCCAATGACAATTCCACATTTGCATCTGCTCATTGTATGAAGAGCATCGTGGTATTTGCAATGACGGCAGATAAATTATACAGGGAACAGAGGAACACTTGCCCAGTGCAGCTGGGCCACTGCTTATGCATGCTAGGGATTGTTTTGAGTTTAGTTTGCTTTTATTTTCCTTTCCCCCCACTGCCCAGTTGTCTGTTACTGCCTGTGGATCCCGCTGGCCGTGGAGCTCAGGACACAGACCTGGAGAAAACAGAGAGCAGGTAGAGAGCTGCTGAATTTATCTCATCAGGGAGGAGGGAGGGCTCTGGGAATCGCAGAGCTCTGCGAGGCTGATGCGAGGCTGGGCTGTGTGAAACACAAAGCACGCCCCAGGAGTTGGGGAAAACAGGAAAAGAAACGCGAAACTGGCGAGGAGTGAGCAATGCAAAGGAGTTTGAGGGAAATGCCACGCTGGGGACTGATGCTGCCGATCCTACGCTCCAACACCCCAGCCAAGCGTGCTGATATCCATCCCCCCAGCAGATCCATGCATTCCTGGCACACTGGTGCCCACCGGGTGACATCACCCGTGGGCTCTTCCTTGGCTATTACTTTGAGGAAGGATTATCCTACACTCATTCACACTGACAGCTCATTTTGCAAGCAGCTCATCGGAAACAATATATTTACTTGCTAAGGTGTTACTCACATAAAGCAGGCGTGTTCCTGTCAGGCTCCTACAAATTAAGTTATATCCATATATACTCACCTAGGGTATAGAGCTGCTGAATTTATCTCATCAGATGTGATGCAGTTTCCTTTGGAATTACAACTATGTTTCAAACTAAACTTCTGTTTTATTATATGGAGATGAATTCTAATTTCCATTTCATATTAAGAGGGAATATTAACCATGGTTAGTTTAGTCGCATACCTTGAAAAATTATAGATCACGTTCAGTACAAATTTGCATAAGTAGTTTTGAGCATGTGAAAGAAGCAATGCTAAATGCTGAATACAAGTACCAAATGCAGAGTTCTTACATTTACTGTAGAATATATTATGTGTATGGCCTCAAAAAGCCTCAGAGATTACGAATACATTTCTTTTCCATGGAAACTATAATTCTCAAATCCAGCAAGCTATTTTAAGAAATTTAAATCAACTATACACATACATCTGCTGGAAGCAGAACATTTCCACAGGCTGTACACTTCAAGGCACAAGCACAGCCGTATGGACATCTTCCCAACTCTTCTACTACACTTCTGCCTCTGACACCACATCTCACTATGCAGATTTAGTGCTAAAGTCTTATTTGGATTGTTCTGCGCCCAACACCGAGACTTTCGGGGCTGCTGCGCTTCGCACCGCCGCATCACTTAAGAGGATGAGGGAAAGCGGTAACGCGGGAGGCACGAAATAAATGCCCCGCTGGCTTGTGCCGGTATTTATTCAGCGTGAAGCGGGAAGGCTGGCGCTGGAGCCGGGTGCCCGGGCAGCCCGCGTTGGTGCCGGCGCTGCCCGGGCACGGCCGCGCTCCGGGCGCTCGGGAGTCCCGCGGAGCGGCCGCACAAGTTGGGCGGCAGCGGGTGGGTGACCCCTGGGCGCTGCTGAGTCATTTCAGCCGCCCAGCGCCGGGCTGCCCGGACCCCCCCGGGCTGGGGGCTGCCCGCAGAGCCGCGGAAACTTCCCCCGCGCTCCGCCGCACTCACCAGGTAGGCTCCCACCGTGCCCTGGGCCAGCATCAGGGCGCACTCGGACACCAGGAAGAGCTGGATGCTGGAGAAGCAGGAGACCTTCCTCCGCCGCCTGCGCTGCCGCGGCGCGCCGGCCCCCGGGAGCTCGCTGCCGCCGCCGCCGCCCGCCGAGCCCCGCTTCCCCGGCATCCTCCCGGGCACCGCCGCTCCGCCGCCGCGGGATGGCGGGCCCCGCGGCTGCTCCGCGCCTTCCTCCTCCTCCTCCTCCTCCTCCTCCTCGGGGTGCCAATCACAGCGGCAACCCGCGGCTGCCTCTCCGCCCGCGGGCTGCTGCCATGGCCAGCTCGCCGCCGCCTCCGCCGCCGCCTCCTCGCTTCTCCCCTCCCCTCGCCCGGCCGCGCTCCCTCTCTCCGCCGGCTCCGCGCAGGCCGAATCCGCGTCCCCGCCGGCGAGGGGCGGGGAACGCGAGGGGCTGGGGCTGGGGCCGGGGCTGGCGGCGGCTCCGCGGCGGGCGGGGCGGCCCCGTTCCCGTCCCCGTCCCCGTTCCCGTCCCGGGCTGCGGGCCCGCCGCCCCTGCCCTGCGCTCCGGGCGGCGGAGCGAGCGGCGATGCTCCCGCACGGCGCCGGCAGCGCGGGCTCTGCCCGCAGGTGGAGGGCAGGATGCCCCCTCATCCTCCCGGACGGCTCCCTGCCCGTGTGTGTCCCCTGTTCCATTCGGTTTTAGGAGCCCCTTTGCAAAGGGAAACGGAGGCGCCACAAAGATTAAATGTTAGAAGAAACGAGCGGCTGGAGGTGACTTGCGTCGCACCGCCGCTGCCATGTGTGCCAGGCTTGGCCGTGCTTGATGCGCCTGGCACCTGCCTTCCGTGGTGCCCTTTGTGGTCAGCCCCACCTCGAGTTCTAATTTCAGGAGATGTCTTCTCTTAAAAACCACTAATCTTCACTTCTACTATTACAGATCGCGTTCCTTGTCGGCGTAATTGCAAAACCTGATCTGTTTCATTCTTGAGATGCAGTTTTCTTGTTCATTTCTGGATCCACATTGGGGGCTGCTGTTCTACTTCCTTGCATTATTAAACTCCAAGTTATATGGAACTTTAAATCCACGATCCATTTAGTACTGGGATGTCCATGGCCTTTGAGAGGAAGAAGTTTTTGTGGAAGCAAAGGTTACATTTTTCAGAGATACCCCACGATTTGCATCCTAAATTTCATTTTCAAAGGTAGTTGAGGCCTTGAAGCTCCTGAACATCTCAGAAGATATCTTTGAAAATGGAGCTTAGGACCATTCTAATTTTCAGAGCATAAACCAGTCAGCACCAGGAAGTCAAGAGAACTGATATTTTGAATGAGTCCATTTTTTCTTCCCATACCCTTTTTGAGTTTTTTCTCCCAAAATATTATCACCTCTTGGGGGCTTTTTATTTTGGTCTATTTTTACGTGAGTAACCTTATTAAACACGATGCTGAAAATCTCTGAGCGGTGTCTCCAACCAGGCTGATGAATCTTTACCGGTGCACATTGCAGAACTGCAAACCATTGCTGGAGAGAAAATGCAGAGCCCTGGCACACTCAGTCGCTGCCCTTCGCTCATCAGCTGCCAACAGGTCCCTCCCAAGCTGAACTTTGTCTTGCCACAGCTTTTCCAGCAAGTCTGTGCCACATCAACAGGAGTCAATAGTCCGCTCCACCTCAGGGCCACAGCCTCCAATATCAATGGCCTGAGGCATCGTTATCAAATAATTAGTGAGGAGAACAGCCCGGTGCTTGTAGATGAGTGGTCTTAATTTTAATGAGATACAGATCAGTCCTCCAGACACTGGAAGCCTCACAAGATGAGCATTAGAAGCTACCTGGGGCCTCAGCTCCCAAGGTTTTTGCATGAGCCCATGAGAAACTGGCTCTTCCATACAGGTTTCTGCCAGTCCATGAGGTGTTTGTTTTCCATCCTGAAGAAACTGGTTCTTCCACCAGAAAAACCCCAAAGAGGCAAGTGTTCTGGAAATCTCTTTAGACAACAAAAGTGCTCATCTCCTTCCTGAAATGTTTATTTAGGCACCTCTTCTGTAAAAATCCTGAAGTTGGGAAGCTAGCAAGGTCTCTATCTCTAGATGGGTGAATTCACAGACTAATTCAATTAGTATGGCTAGACAGATGCTTTGCTCCAGGTGCATGCTGCAGTGCGTGATAAACAGGATGGACAAGCTCACAGACTTTTAAATAGGTGAAACCAGAGTGGTGTCTCTTAAAATACTTGAACATACAGAGTTATGCTAGGGGAAGTCTTAAAATTTCTTGAAAAAAACCCATCCAACAGAACCAATACAGATTTTTGGGGCATGCCAGTCTTTCCAATCATCTTTTGCCTGCTCTAGGTTAGATGCTAAAGATCTAAAAACTCATCTAACTTGCCAAGTATATATCTGGAGGCAGAAGTAAACTTCTTCACATGCTACTGCAGTTACCAATATTCAAGTTGATGCTTTAAAGCTCTTCAGAATATATATATATATATATATATATAATATATGCAAATGACATCATGTGTCTCGATCACATCTTAGACATCCTGTTGGAAGAGTTTGTTCAGGCTGATACACTGCTTGTCTTTCACAAGGAAAACAGCTGCTAGAAAAATTTGACTCTAATACTAATTATCTGAAACATCTGGTTGCTTGGTTTATTGCAGCAGAATACAATTTTCAGTTCGGTTGCTGTCCAGAAGAGACAGAATGCCTGGGTTTTTTTCTCTTATTTATGTTGTATACTTACACTTTTTTCCTTTAGGAAAAATTCCTCTTGGGTTGCTCTGCTGAAAAAAAGAATGAGGGTCTTGCATCTCTACTTGAGCTACATTGGTAGACCTGAGTTTGCTTTTTGCCACCTCTAAACAGACCACATTCCTGAGAGATCTCAGTAGAATGCTTCAGGGATGGACAAGTGACCTGGTTGGATTTAATAGTTAATTATTGCTATAGCCAAACAGCTTTTCTGGCCTAAATTGACTCAGCTTTAACTACTAATGTGTGGAATACTAATGTTCTTGGATTATCATTAGCCTAGAATAAAAAATGACTCTACAGCTAGAATAGTCCCTTCTCCTCAGGGCTCGGCAGTTTTGCCAACACAGTTCTCAGCTCTTTCCACATCCAAAGCAAGCATTTTCCCCACAGTAATTTCTACTAAAGCATCTTGCAGATACCCTGTCAGGTTTTCATAAACACTCTGAGATTCATTGCTGGCAGGCAGCGTGCTGCCCCAGATAAGGGTGGGCACTCCAACCTTAAACCAACCAATCTTAAACCAACCAATCTTAAATCTCCTGAGACCATCTCATCACACCTTGGCTCTGGACATCTCCTTGCTCCTGGGCTTGTGGCAACATTCACCTCTGGGTAACCTTAGCAGGCAGAGTTTTCTTAGCCCATCACCTCGCTGAAACAATTTCTGCTTTAGTTCACTTTCCCCCCCTCCTGTTCATGGTTAATATTACTCCAAATTAGCTGTGTAATCTTGATGCTAGGCAGGCACAACTTTTTTGATCCATATTCAGAGTCATTGCCTGTTGTGTGGCACTGAAGAACTGAGGGAGAGCTGTGCAGGGTGAGGACCTCAGTGAAGTACTTGACTGGTATCTTACACCTCAAGGGGCAAAAGTGCAAACTGAAAATCTAAGCTGGACCATCAGCAGTGTGGGTAACAGGAGAAGGAACAGGAGAGGATGATTTCCCTTCAGCAGAGCTGGTGGAAACCACTCCTGTGCAATGTGCCAAAGCAAGCAGCTGAGCTCTATCATTAGGCATCTCTACAATTGCCATTGGAATCGTATTCCCAAACCTTCCAGACATATTCTACAGTCCAGGGAGCTAATGTGTGCCTCACCCAGTACTGCAGCACTGTACCTATTCCTGCTGAGGATGTAGCAGGGAAAAAAACCCAATAACAGGTGCTAAGAGAAAATGATGGTCTTACAGAAGAACTGTGATATATTAAAAAAAAAAAAAAATGAAAGAACCCAACCAAAGCAGTGCTGCAACCATTGTTGCCTTTAACATTGCAACCATAACTGTTGGCTTCTGCCACCAAAACTTCTCTGGATGTTCTCTGCAGGGTGACTGCACTTCATTGCTCTCCTCTCCACTGCTGTAGGTCAGAGCAGCTATTGCAGCCTGACTGAGGATGCAGTGCCTGCATCCTCACCCCTGCCCATGGCTATGCTTTCAGACAGCTGCTTGTGCTCTCCTGCCCCGTGGCCCTGGGTGCCAGCCCGGCTGTAAATCGCTGCTAATCTGAGATAATTGCAAGGGTGACTGGGGAGCATCATGGTGAGAGCCGCCCTGGGGGCATGCTTGCTCAGTCTGCCGGGTCCTGGCACCGCTTCTGCCCCTTGCTCTGGCAGAGGAGATGCTCTCACCTGGCCGGGAGGATATGCACCCCTGCATTAGGTACAGCAGAATAATGTCCCTGAGAGGTTTGCATTCTGCCCCGCTCAAAATCCCACCAGTGAAGTTAAAAATCAGGCACAGCTGTCTCAGATACCAGTCTCAGACTACATTTGGGTTCCTTTCCAGGACAGTGTATCCGTGTTTGGGCCAGTTTTCATTTGCTTTAAGGCATTTGGATGAAAGGAGAGCTCATGTGCTGCCAAAGCAGATTTGCATGTAATGTAAATCATATCCCCTTGGCACCAGATCTGCGCCCCTGACTGGTCCTGCCTGGTGCATTTGTCTGGGGGAAGGCTTACGCAGTAAGACAACAAGGAATAACTTCAGATATGTTCAAAGTACAAGGAAGAAAATGTAAATAAATATGGGATCCCAGGGCTGTGGCCAAGAGGCTTTTCCTTGGGATGGCTTTGAAATGATGTTTTGGTGATTCTCCAGTGCAAAACCATGTGGAACAGCTGGCACAGGAGGGAGGAGACAGGAAGGGATTTAAATCACCTACCAGTGCAGAATGGGGCTGTAAGTGTGCCCAGCAGCCAAGGGTGTGTGGCAGTGAGGGGAGCTGAGACTGGGGCAGCTTGTGGATGTATCAGCAGCTGTCCTTTCCAAGATACCATGACACTAACAGTTTTAAAGCAATTTCTTTCTATAAACACTTCTGGCTTTACTGCCTTGCTATTTTGAGTCCTGCTGGAGACTTGGATTCATTAAAAAGGCATTTCCTTTGGACAAGCAGATTAGATAGCTGT